CATTTCATGAAGGGTTGTCGTGAATGCTATCGACTGCCACTGCGACCGCTACTGCCACCACCACCACCACCACCACCACCACCACCACCACCACCACCACCACCACCATCACCAGCACCACCAGCACCACCAGCACCACCAGCATCAGCACCACCCCTGCCCTTGCGGCAACTACACCGAGCCTGGCCAATTGCGTATGCCTTCGGAGGAGAGTGCTGCTTCATGTCCATGCCGGTCTGCAAAGAGGGGTCTAGGGTCGCGGCTTACGGTTTGAAACCTAGCAAGCTTTCAGTATGTCGAGTTTCGCGGGCAGTGGCTTCGGTTTACAGCAGAACGGCGAAGGTCATCCGTAGGGGTTTCAAGGTCATAGTCATGCCTGAACACATACTGCTCTTACAAAGGTGTGCAGTGTGCATAACATGCATTGGAGTCGCGTCTAGTTTGCACATCTCTACGCAGGTGCAAGGGTTTACCTTTCTTACACTTCCAGTTCAGGGAACTCTGAGTTTAGACTTCAGTGTCGAAAGGTTTTCGACTCAAGTGTGAGGACTTTAAGGTTCCATGTAAACCGGGCTTGAGGCTTACAAACTTCCACCTGGCTGCTGCTCTCTGAAGCTTACGGTTTATGGCTTGGGCTCGCCAGGGTGGTGTCAGGGTTGGGCAATAGCTTGACAGCTTCACCTCAGTTACATTGGAAAGTGCAGGCATTAGGGGCAAGTGAGCTTTGGAGTCTCAGGTCCGGGAGTTAGCAAGGCGGAGGGTATGAGCTTCACAGGCTTCAACAGGAAGTACCAGTGCCATCTGGATCTGGCTGAAACGGCCGGCCAGTGCACACATGCACACGGCTCTCCACAAAATCAAGTCCTACTGAGAATACTCGTGCATGGACACGGGAATCCAGAAACAGAGGGGCCCGCATTGGGAGCCCCAGCACAAGTCCAACAATACGTTACCCACAAAAATCCCGTGCCGCCCATTGTGAGATGCCGCTTCATACAACACGCAAAGCTCGGCACAACGATGTCTCAAAGTGGAACTCCTCGAAAGACACGACGAGGCCCACGTCAAAATGACTTGGGCCTCCTCTGTGTACTCGTCAATGCGCAGCTTGCCAGTCTTCCTTGAATTGGGTTGTTACGGCTTCGGGTTGAGGGTAGGGTCCAGGCTAAAGCGTGTATGGTGTAGAGAAACCTGCTTTTGGGTTCAGGGTGCGCAGGCTTGGAATTTAGAGCTCTGACTTTGCAAAAAGGACCGGTACGCCAGAAATGGTCTCCCAACCCCTGAAGCTCTAAGCCCTGTAAAATCTTTTTTTTCTGATATTGCAAACGCCTTGGGGGCTTCTTGGTGGACCTAGGCATCCTGTTGGTGCCCTGAAGCTACCCAAACACAGCTCAGTTTGGCATGGATACACCATGCGCTATAGTCAATAATATCTCTTGTCCCCGTACACATGCGCAGAACTACATGATCCTCATTATGAAGAATGACGGAAAGCCATCCATGAGTGTTTTCAGAACACGGGGTGGCCCTTCCGCATGCTGGAGATGTGTGATTGGACTTGTAGATTTCAATGGACCATGATAGGGTCCCTGATCTCTTCTGTAAAGCTAGGTGCTTCAGGGCGAAGAAGGCAAGGCCGGACAAAGATCCGGCCCAGGCAATCACCATCAGGACCTCGAGGAGAGCAGAAGTGACTCTATGGAATCATGGTCACATGTAGCGCTCAGGGTTCAACAGTAGAAAGCGCCGCAATTGGAATAACAAGGTCCAGTGAAGGCAGCACAGAAACAGACAGGATCACTAAAAGCATTGCTCTTTTTCAATTGGGGATCCTTAGGGGTTGAGGATATTCTTCTGATCACTGTTGAGGATTAGGTAGGGGCTGTTTGATTTCGAGAAACCACACGGAATGATCATCGTCATCATCATGCAAGCAAGTCTCACAACTCCATGTTTATCATCATTCTTCCTGGAACAAGAAGTGCGCCGCGAGTGGTTGAGGTCCGGGGTTTCATGAAGAATCCTTTGCTTTTGGGATCAGAGCTTCTAACTGCACAAGCTCCAATTCACGATCAGCACTCCCAAGGAGAAAAATCAGCCTTAGGTGCTCGGCCGAAATTACGTGCATCTAGAGTGTCCTCCCTGCGGTCTGCTTTGTATGCCGTATGCCCAACAGAAGTGTTTAGGGTCGCACTCCAGAAGACGCTTCGACGGATATTGGTGGCAAAGATCAGCAGGCTTCAAAACTTGCAAGTTTTGCATGATGAAGGTGGCGTCAGCCTCTGTGAAGATGCAGGGGCGCGTGCTCTAAGATCATGCACAGCGAAAGGCACAAAGATTGCCCGACTGAGAGAGCAAGACAAGACACCATCATCAAAGCCCTAACCCTCAAAGCTGATCTTTGCCTAGAGCCTCGAACCTCCATGCCCAAACAACAGACTTCAGAATAACCTTGATCAAGCCTTGATCCTAAGATTCAGAAATTAAATTCCTAAACCAACCATGCCCCGCTGCTGCAGCCTCCCCTACTGCTGATGCTCCCAAGGTGCAAGGATGCACTGCGCGCCGATGGCGGTGCCACCAATTCCAGTCTGGCAGGTTGAGTCTGTCTCGCTGACGGGCCTTGGGAAATCTCAGGTTGACAACAATGGACTGAAGTGTAGCACTTAGGCCTTCGTGCGGAATGTCCTGTCACGTATACGCCCTAAGCGCCTGAGCGTTCGACCGTCAATCCCATGCGTCATGCGCAGCTTGCTGCCACTCTTTAGCCGCCAACATTGCTCCTAAAACATATGGCATGTATGCAGCTTTGGTACGACCCTGTTCAACCCTGCATAGCTGATTGCACACCTGTTCTTTTTATGATACTTCTCATTTATGTTTGCACATGTTGTGAACCGTGACGATGACTGAATCTTTTGTTGCCGCGGTGGTGATGTGGTTGGGATCGGGCTGGTGGCGAGTGTGAGAAGTAGTAGTATAGCGGTAGCAAATAGAAGCAAATGCGTTGAGTTTCTTGCCTTCAGAATGAACATGGTAATCGCCCGTGCCAATGACATCATCAGTGCAACCCTTAGCTTTGTACCCATGACGTCATGCAAACCCAAAGCTCTTCTTACAAACCCGTCATGTCTGCAGACGCCGAAAGGCACATGCGTAAGACCCAGAAATCAACCGAGCCCATACAAGGGGCTCATGGCTACGCGGAAGCCACAAATCTAAGCCCTAACAAGCTCTATCCGCAAAAGAGTAGACTGCAGAGAAAGCAGCATGCATGAGAATCCCGACCATCCGTGGAAGGTGTCGAATCCCTTGCCCCAGTCAAAGAGGCCTTCACAGCGTCGGGTTTGAGCTTTGAGGATTTAGGATTAGGGCGCAGACTGTATATGTCCAGGGTTTGGTTGCGGAAGCTTTTTATCCTAGCTGCAGCTGTAAGCGGTTTGGCTGGCCGCAGCTGAGAGAACTTCAGCAAAGGGCAAACAAAAAGACATGTCAGAGGGGCCGGAAGGAATAGCAGCAGCTGTAAAGACGCAATAGGCCTAGTCACATCAAAGAGAAATTCGGGCGTTTCATTTTGAAGGAGTCTCTGATATTTCTGGATAGCCACCGGCAACAAAAAGAAAAACGTCTGGGGGACCGGAGACGTTGGCTTTTTCTAGCCGTGGTTGTAAATGTTTAGTAAAGACTCTAGCTCCTCAGCAAATCTTCAAGAGAAATTCAGGCGCGTCGTAGGAAATTCTCAAGGTTCTCAGCCTACCTTTCTGGATAGCCGAGCCTCTGGTAAAATTCCTAATTGACACGGCCAGGCAAAAAAGAACACGTCCAGGGTGCCAGAGGCATTTTTTCCCTCGCCGCGGCTGTGCGGATTCTCCGCGGGTCTACTGGCCTTCAGCTAGTTGACCCTCTATTCTTGCCAGCTACTTATCCGAAGGTGTTGCCGGCTACTTGTTCCTGAAAGACATCGTATTTGACCCTAAAAGCATGTTCCAGAGTTGGTACTCCAGGGGTGTACCCAAATTGGACATGATGTTATGGGGTCATGTTTACAAGAGCGAGGGGTTTGAGGGGGTGCTGCCCCCCTTTGCAAACCAGTAAATAAGGCAGCAGTTGTTGATGACAATTTACCCTTAGACATGATACGGTTCATGATGCATTCAAAGAGCAGCGCCCGCCCCATTTGCAAAACCTTGAAGATGCGGCAGGCGCTGATGAGGACTGGACCGAGCGACCGACCGACATGGACCGACCACCCAACCTCGACCGACACCAATGGACTGACCGACACCGAGCGACCCGACCAACAGCGACCGGCCAACGCCGACTGTCTTGAAAACCAAAACATCAAGGAGCCATGACCGAGGTTGACCAGAGCCTTGCAACCCCGCCTAGGGATAACAAAAACAGGGCCCGGGTTTGGTTTAGGTTTACATGTTCCCGGTCTTTAGCAATACATGTAGCTTCGGGTTTGTCAAGGTTAGGGCTGCTGTGAGCGGATGGCCAGCCCTCCAAGTCGTGGCTCTGGCTTTGCGGGTGCTTGTAATGGCGTTGGGACTGGATGGGATGGTTTTGATATGTTCAGGTTTGAGCGGTTGAAGCCAGCTTTGGAAGCTTGCAGTGCGCAAGGGTTAGTGTGCATGGGTGCAGGAGAGACACTGGACGCCAAGTCTGCCTCAAGAGTCCTCTCTGCTAGCTTAGGCTCCGGAACCTCATTTCTATATCACAGTGTGACTCTTGACATCGACAGCAAGAAGGCTGATAACGGCAGTACCGCTGTGAACTTAAAGAAATGATAACCGCAGCCGCCATATCTGTGGAGGATGCACCCCATGCCAACGAGCGCACCTCCTTCAGACAATCGTCAAACCCCAACCACTGCCCTCCCCGGCTGCTCCTGTCTGAATCCGCGAAACATAACCGCCCAGGACCAGTCCCTGCACTCTAGCCCCAACTGTTAGTAAGCCGAGGAGTCTCTCAAAGTAGCCCCAAATTCTCCTCAACCTGAAGCCTTGAAGTCACCACGCAGGCCTGCGGCAAGGACACCCCAAATGCCGCAGAAGCCATGGACGGGGCTGGCATCCACCTGGGCACCAGTTTCAGGTTTGGAGGCGCTGAGAGCCTTCAGGGCTTTTTGCCGAAGAAGATAAATTCTTAAGTTTGGGACCAATGGGATACCAAAAACATGCTCTGCTCAGCTGAAACAGCACAAGGGCATGACAAAGGAAGAAACCATCAGCCATTTGTTAATTTGCCGCCCTTTCACTGCCAGTTTCTTGTGGTCGAATCAATTCTAGAGAGTGTGGTTCAGGTGCCAGTAGCCTACAAAGCCAGGCCTAGCTAAAACCCAAGTGCAGAACTTAATTAGAGCTCTAAGACTTTTACACGCGAGTTTGTGAGACGATGGGGAAATCCGTCATGGCGGAGTCTGGCCAGAAGGATTCGCATTTTACTAGTTTCGGGGAAGCCCCAAGTAGATGCACATGGCCGGTTGGAGCTCGTTGTCCTTCCATGCGAAATTCTGTCCGAGAATCACGCGAAGCTGCGCAGGGCTCTGTAGCAGGTTGACACATTTGAAATCCTACGTCCTGAGCCGAACAGCCCAAGCCCCGCATCCTTGCAATACAGCAGCGCACACCCTCAACCTAAAACTCACACCCTGCTGCCCACACCCCAAGCCTTGTTCGGAAGACGTGTTGGTAGGTAAATATAGCCCCCCGCAAGCCCTTTAGTGACCACGTTCGAATCCTTCCAAACCTTATAAGCGCACCATTCACAGAAGTCACCCAACCTCCAAGCACCAGCCTGCTGCAAGAAGCCCAGGCACAGGGTCGTCAATCTTCAGCTTCTGGAGGAGCATCGAGGATCCCTGAATCCAGTTCTTTGGCTCTAATGAAGCTCCGTAGAATTTGTCGGGTTTTGGGGTGTCTCAAAATTGAAGGGACTTTCGGGAAAGGTCATCATTGAGCTGGGTGTGGTTTTTGGTGACGCTAAGAATTCTTCACTTGACATCAACAATCCAAGACTACAACCCGAAAAGATGACGACACACAGCATGTCAGGGTAAGGCTGGGCAAAGCTCATTTCTTGTACTTCGTTCTGCTTCGAGGTACCAAACCCCCTGATTCTCCAGACCCTACACCAAGCTTCCCAGCACTTCCCCGCAAACGGAAATGTCGTATGAATCCTAACCCAATCAATCAAATTGCCTTGTACGGCCCTGAGTACCCAAACCCGTGAAAACCAAGACTCTGACCCAGTACTATCTGCAAAACACTAGCAGAATGGCAGCAGCCTGGTACACAAGCGCACCAATGAAGCCAATGGCGAACGCACTGCCGCATTCCACGCTGCCTGGTTTCAAAGGATCTTAGCAGTCACCCTGCAGAATAGGAGCTACAGCCCAAGGTTGAAGGGGTTAGCTGTAGCGCGTTTACTTCTGGGTAGTCTTTGGTATTCTCGCTGGTACCCTTGTGCAGTGATAGACTGCTGCATGGTCCCAAAATTTCATGCAGAACGGGACACTCCGTGCTGCCTCAATCTGGGCATAAGCTCAGACTGTCATGTCTCAGAAACCAGCGGCCTGCATCTAGAATCTAGAAGTCCATTGCCATCAAGAGGTGTTGTATCGAGACTGGGATCGTGACCGCCCTGTTTTGCAGACTACCTCGGGCTTAGGTGCCCCCACAGATTTTTCTGAACGAAAGAATCCTTCAATCAAAGCACACCCATGTCCCAAACACTGAAACTTTTTTCATTGCGGGCGCATACCACCTCAGCCTCCGGAAGAAGCATGAGCTGCAAAACGCAAGAGCGCAAAAATGCCACAATTCTTTGTACCGCACTGTTCGGGAAGGTGACCTGGAGTCCCAAGCCCACTACCCTTACCTCCAAAACCTGGACCGTGTACTTCCTCTTAATCGGAGTCTCCCGGGTACCAAATTTGAGATATCCTAAATCCGAATCTTATGTTCCCAGAATATCCTTAACATCTCCACTATGCTGAAAATATGCGTGTACATGAAATCACTGAAATCTGTATGCTGCGGGGTGCCGCAAGGCGCAGTGATGGAGACCAAACCGGCAAGGATACCGTTGCCTGGCTAGGGTCGAGGTGCTTAAGTTAGGGGTTCAAGGCTAAGGCTAAGGACTGATGGGCCAAGGTTTTCAAGCACGAAGTTCCCTCGAAGCCTTGTGTTTCCCCGGTATTCCTATGGGGTAGGATGAAGGAAATGTGCAATGGGGATGGAAGCCTGCTGTGGGAGTTTGGGGTGTTGAGATAGGAGCTTGAGATTCATTGGTAGGCTTTGGGGTCTAGGGTTTAGGGTATGTTCGGTCAGAATCAGAGTATGAAACCATCCACAAGTCTTCAGAAGCCCCAGATCCATTTACCGTACACGGTCATAATCTTGAGACCTCGCCACATGTTCTGGGGGGCACACAAATTCAGGATAACTGGTTCTCCAAGGGGAAAATTTGGGGCACAAGTCCGATGAGGAAGTTTGCTTGTTGTCAAGGTCCCGGAACGGACAAAGGCAATAAATATGCAGACCTGCATGCATTCAAGTACAAGCAACCATTTGCATGGACTTGCCTATGCCTGCTTCTTGAAGGCAGCGGTCACATTCCAGACACACAAGCTTGAGCACTGGTGTGTCAAAACGGTGCTTGGCATGACTGCGTCCTTCGAAGAAGATGCGAGTTCAGCCTCAACCCTCAACATGAATTTTAGGGCGCCCCCCAGATCGGTCACAAGCAGGATGTGGTGAAAGTCGTCCTTCTCTGGTGCTGCCATTCACGCCACTTTAGACAGACCCGGAGTTGGTGCCTGCACAACGTTTGTGCCACGTCTAGACACTTCTGATCTAGAACTTACAGCCCAGCAGTTGAGCTTCATTACGCGGACAAACGGGCGCGGGCTCCAGAAGCAATTCTGTGAATCCAATATTGGCATGATCCCACATCCTATGGTTCGACGAGTGGCACAATCCGCCCACGTCGTACCTTCGGCTGTCGAGCTGGTAGAATCGAACAGTCGAACAGTACATACTACACAGGTGGCCGCAGCGCGGTGAATCACTAAAGAAAAATATAGCTTTTCTAGAGCAATCAAAGGGATTCACTCTGGATCTCAGGATTTCTGGACTCGTTTGAGGAACTTCTTGGAGAACCTAATCAGGGTGACTTTCTTCAAGCTTTCAGCCCAAATAGCTTAGGGATGTGTGTGTGGTTTTTAGATTGATAGGGGCACTTGGTCCCACCTTTGGCACCCCAAGGAGAAAAATCAGGACCACTCAAGCTCGCTTATGCAGCCCTTTGAGGAGCCTCTTTTTGTTACAAGAAATTTCTGCAAGATTCGGGACTGCTTACCTCAAGGATGGCCACTTGACAGATGTGAGACATTGTTACAATGGCTCAAAATTTAAAGCAGCTTCCTAACTTACCATGAAAACTCTACACGGTCAAAGCCAGATAAACCCAGGACATCCGCCCACATAACCCCCTTACACCAACCACACCGGTTCGCGGCGCTGGTCAATTGCTTTGGAAATAAAGGCTTGCACAGCACTCCTTAGGCTGCACAGCACACCCCAGCTCCTCCCAACTGCAGGATCCTTATCAATACAGCCAAGGTGCTTCTTGAGGATGGCATAGCGGAGCATAAAGACCTTGATACTAAAATGTGAGCCCTGGAAACCCTCCTGTGCTTCTGCTTGTTTGCACGATCCATACCCACTGAGCTTCATGCCGATATCTACAGAAACAGATGACCAAACGACAGCTCATGGAAAGAGCATTAATCTGTTCCTCCTAATAATGAAGCCCTCTGACACTGAATACTCTCCCCAGAAAATCTCCAATTCCAGAAGCTCCCTGCAGACCAATGTTAGAAAGGCTAAGACTACTTTTACGAGGGAGCCCTAACATACCGAATGAGGGGGATTTTGAAGACATTAAAGTAAGGTACAGAAGGAACAAGGGACCCTTTGATGTCCTAGGTTTTTCATTGTTCTATAGAGTTTTTTACAATAGATTATGTGAGCAACATTCAAAATTTCCTACATAATTGAACGGACATGGGTTCCTTATTAGGGACTATATTAGGGACTACGCTAACGACAAAAAGGACCCCTAGGTCCACTGTTCAGGGTCCCTTAATGAGGTTAATGTTGACAGTAGCTCATATAACAACTAACGCGAATCGATTTTAATGAGATTGTCAACCGATTTGAAACGGTTTTAATTAGACTTTCATCAAATGTTATTTCGATTTCAGTTGATTCTTTTCAGATCTTAATTCGACTGTGATTGGATTTTAATTGGTATTAATTAGCTTCCAGCTCGCTTCCAATTGATCGTTTGAATTGGCCTTAATTAGATTTTCATTGGAACTTAATTGACCTTACGAGTAAGTAGATGTTAGTTGGATTTCAACTGATTTGAGTTCGATGCTACGTCGATTTCACTGGATTCCCAACTTGATTTCAACGGGTTTTTAGTTTGATACAAGCAGGTGCCAATTGATTTTAATTACTCGCTGACTGGCTTCATTTCCTAAAGTAATCTCTCATCAGATTTCCTTTGGCTTTGAATAGATTTCGGTCGACTTTAAATAGGTTGTACTTTGATTGTAATTCGATTTTAATTAGATTTGAATTGGTTATACCTCCCATCGCAACAGCAAAAATCACTGGCCCACGCAGCATTTCGGTCAATGCGCATGTCAGCATATTTTTCCGCAAACCTCCGCAGGGCGCAAAATACTGCTATTTGCAGTACGCGCCACACTCGCATTTTCCTCTGCATCTGCTTGCCCTTGCGACTGGAAACGCCGCCTCGCGACGCCCACCCCGAAAAAGCTACAAAAATCGACCCGTGAAGAAAGTCCAGAATAACCCACGCAGGCCAATGTTTCGGCAATTTAGCGTCTTCGCGCAATGTTCAAAAAGCATTTTTTTTAAAAAAAGAGTTTTTGCAGGAAATCACGATCCATTGCGCCTGCCAGCATTGTGCGGAAAAACGACCGATTTTTCCGCACTATGTTGCTGCATCTGCAATGCAAAAATACATTAAAATACTGCGCTGCCATGTAAAACAGGCTTCCATTTAGGTGGTTCTTGAGTAGAGTGTAATGGCTGACTCTAGTTCAATGTTCATTAGGTGTTGATTTTCATTAGGTGCTAAATCGGTTGAACTAAATTCCAATTGATGTTAGTTAGGTTGCAAGTAGACTGTAATTGGATGTTAAATAGACTTCAAGTAGTCTACGCAATTAAAGTCTAAATTGATTTCGCATTCGATGTTAATTAGGTTTGAATTCGAGATTTTGCTTAGACTTCTGTTAATTCAAATAGGGTTTTACTTGGACTGTGATTAGATGTCCATGGTTTTTCATTAAAGCCTTAAAGGCTACTTCATCTTGATTAGGCTTCATTTGTTTGTAGTGGGAATTTCAACTGATTGATTTAGATTTTTATGCAAATCGATTTCAAGTTAATTCTAATCAGCCTTTTGAACTTTCACTGGCTTTAACTTAATCAGAACTTCCATCGATTTTAATTAAGTCCCCCATATTCTTTGCAATACCCGCCCCTCCCCTCCAATCACTACTCGTGAAGGGGTCTTAAATAGCGGAGCGGGGGAGCGTCGTTTATTGGGGGGAAGAGATTGCAAAAGACAATCTTCTTTCGCCTGTCTAGCAGTATGAGGAGAAGTGCTGACGCTGTCTCCTGAAACTTGCTGTTGAAGGTTCAAAGGTTTTCTACTGGTGGAGTGGATGCGATGGGCCAGTGGAGACTTCCTCATGGAAACGTCTATTCTTCATCTCCCTGATTCTTATCCTCGACTAATGCTAGCTAGGTTTCTACGTCACCCAAAGGTTCCAGACAAACTACAGTGTCCTGACGTCCTACAAGACAAACCATCTATGAGTATGGCCTACGTGTCAGAAACATTAACTACAGCCCATAATATATCAGGCAACCCAGACGGCAGCCAATTTGCTGGAAGCTGGTGAGTTCAAAGCAAATCCCGGCCTGAATATCCTACGCATCCCGCATCTGACGGCAAAAACAATCCTGGGATTCCTTAACTTGAAATTGTCACCAGAACAAGCCAGAGCACGGTGATGCCGCCGGTCGCTGCTGCAATGGTGGTGTTCATGGCAACCTGCGCCACGTGGTGAAAGATAAAGAGTTGGGGCTTAGAGCTTCGAAGCTGAACAATGGTAAGGATGCAAACGCATTCTACGAATCCTGTTTGGAGTTTCATGGATAATCAAAACTGAAATACCTTGCTTCAGCTAGCAACTGAAGCTATCACACATTTCTTACCGCAGCAGGAGCCACCCATGACACTCGAACTGTGGATCTTTGACCAAAAGGTCGCGGTCTTGCGGAGAAGCACGCACCTCTCCTCTCCTTGTTGTGCGCTCGTTCTCCGGATGTCATGCAGCGGGCGCACAATACATTATGTGGAGCGGCGGGGTCCTGACAAAAGAAGGAGCCTAGGGCCTATAGATATGCATGCGACGATCTTGCACATGCGCAGGCCTTAGCAAGAATGCCTGGCGAACAGCAAACATTTTTCGGACCGAACGGCAACTCATCCAGACTGTTGGCACAAAAACAGCACTAAGCCGGGAAGGCGCTTATCGGCATGAAGCGTGAACCCTAAATTGCTTGTCATCACACGCTTCTCCGAAGCATATCCATTTGTTTTGAGCAGGTTTGCAGTCAGAATTCTCTTACAGTTGTCCTTAATTCCCTGCGCTTATGCAAGAACAGAAGATTTACGTTTACTTAACATGCAACGCGCTCCACATGCCAAACACATAATTTGGGTTACAAGAACTAGCTGGGGCATTCAGAGCTGAGCTATTTCATTCTCTAAGCGACTACGAAGGAACCTGCGGATCAGCAACTGATTCTCATATTCAGCAATACTAGGTAGCACCCTTGACCGTCATTGAAATCCTAGGCCCCGCCCTACATGAGCATGGATCCCACACCTGCACCAGGCTTAACGGCACATATAAAGGAATCTCAAAATCTCAACCATCTTGAAGCCTTGGCCACCAACAGCGGAAAAAACAAATGCCCTCCGAAGGCCTGTGCCGCCATAGCACCCGTCGCCCCATCGTGCATCCCCAGCGTGGAGCCTGGGTTGAAGCCGTACCAGCCGAACCTTGGGCTACAGGGTCGGCAAGTTTGCTTTGTTTGAGCAGGGGACTGGAGGCTTTGAAGAGCGGTGGTCTAGGGGCTTCTGGGGCAGCGCTCTGAGTTGCACAAGAACCGTGGCTTTGGGGTGTCTGCGTTGAACGCCAGCAGACAGTGACCTCACACTTGGGCTGCTAGCATTGGTTTCTGGATCTGTTCAGGTGGGCTTCTGGGATTTTCGGGCTGGAGAGTCTAGAAAACAGTGTGCGGGTTAAACCGATAGTCATGAGACCTGGAGAGGTCCTGGTTCAAGGCCTGAATAGGTTTGGGGGTTATATCATGGGAGCCAGGTGGAAATGCTTCCTTGCTGCAGAGGCTCAAGTAGCTTTTGAGGAAAGGGCCTAGGGCATGGCCCTGCTGGAAAAACTCTTAGGCAAGAGTCAACGGGCAAACCATGCAATTCTGCCCGCAAGGGACCTCTAAGAGTCTACGTAACTAAGAGTCAAGGTGCCAAAGCGCAAAGGTTCCGAGCACAACCAAGGGGAGGTTGTGAGGCTCGAACTCCTGGGGATTTGGGCCCCGCTTGATGGGGCTTGCAGTTCACAGGGCACACAGGGTGCATGGTGGCTGACCCCTAGACCCTGAACACAGAATGCTACTGACAGACCCGAAGCCCTAAGCACCAAAGTAAAACTCCTTGACATCGCAACATCCTAGACTAGAACTAACATGCCTTGGCTCCATAACAGTTACTCACATTACTCACCATGCAGGTAGTTTAACATTAGTTATCAACTCTGTAAGCTACTCTCGAGCTCGGGCTTTACAACCTCGGATATGTGATTGGCTGTCTGGCTGTCTGGTGCCCATAATGATCATCAAAGTTTCTAGTCTGCCTTTACTTTGGGAACCGCGCTCAAAGGGAGCACCAACTCTAGAAAAGACGGCCTTTCAGGGTGATCCCTACTCTCTATCACCAAGGCAGAACACACGACACTCGAATCACTATTCTGCATGCTTGCGTGGTCAGAGAATGCCCCCGACTACACCCATATCATAAATGGTACGGCCGCCAGTCAGTTTTTATTGTAGATATGTACGCGCCAGGTCATACATATGGCCGAAACCCCAAGCCAGCACAAAGCGAAAACCTCCAAAGCATCTGAACCCTCAACGCCTAGTTACCCCAACCCAGCTCCTCCGGATTAACGAAGCGCCCCTTGCGAGGTCCAAGGATGATGGTGCCCACGAGGCCGCTGACACCTTTTCAGGGAAGCTGCCGTACTGCCCTCCAATTATGTGCATCTACAAGCAAGCGGACACGTCGTGGGCTATCCCCGACATTAAAAAAATGCGCAGCCTCAAAGTCCAACAACTCTGGACATTCCCAAACTTGAGAAACTAAGAAACCATCTCCAGAATCCCCACATTCCAACGAAACAGAGAACTGGAAAGGTGACTTCCCAAGAGTTTCAAGGAAATCTTCAGGTTCCATAGCGGGGGCGTGCAACAAATGTAGCCAAGAATCTTCAATACCGGTCGCAACAACAGACATTTGATGTGAATTTGGTGCTCCTTGATAGTAAAAACTCGTCCTCCCAACCTCAAGTACTCCTACTACTTTCATACCAGGGTTGCAAGTGCGATCGTACTGATTTTTCATGTTCCTATGTGTTGGCCCGTTAGCATTGCCATGGGGTTTCCACTGGGATGACTACTTTTGATACTACTGCTAGTACTAGAAACAACAGCACATGCGGCAGTAGCAGGTATGGCTGTTCATAATGGTGCATGTTATCCTAGTAGACCTGGCGTTCGCCGTAGCAGAAAGCAGGGAACACAGAAAGCATGCTGAAAAACCTCAAGCAAAACTCGTGGAAGCAAGGCTTATTGAAAAAAATCGGGATGCTTTTTAATTGAACCTACCTCACCCTGCAAGATCGCATTGTATCCGCAAACCACCAAAACCAGTGCCTTTGATACACCTGTGGAGAGGAGTCACAAAACATCCGTTGAAACTTGCACCGTAAGACCTCCGCAGAATCGGTCTGGCTGCAAGATACCGCAAGCGACCTCAAGGATCCTGAAACCCATACTTAGGTATTGTGCCCCAAACAAATCGGAGGTGCAGGAGCCTATATAAGTAGATGTGAACAATCTGAAGACCCGTGTCTGAGAAAAAACTGAATGTTCCCACAAAAGGGTCAAGACACCCGCCTACTGGTGATGATGAATCTTCCAACCCCTTACCTCTCAAGTCGAAATACACAAACTCGAGTGACAAGACACCAGTGGAAGGTATCACGTAAAGACTCCAAAGTGCCCTTAACGAATTTAATTCTTGTCGAGCTTCCTACCCTGACTTCATCCCCTCCCAACATTCTGCCTTTGTTGTTCCCGCCCTCCTGATGGTGATGTTGCGTTTAATAGCAGGAGTCATATTGGTGCCCATACTTGTATGGTAGTACTACTACTACTACTAATACTACTACTACTACTACTACTACTACCAGCCCCCCCCTAGGGCCCACACTTTATTTAAAAAGGAATATAAATTCCCCGAGGAGGCG